TGCAGGGACCCAAGCACTTGGGCTATCTTCTGCTGCTTTCCCAGGTGCATTAGCAGAGAGCTGGATTGAAAGTGGAGCAGCCGGGAATCAAACCACCACCCACATAGGATGCCAGCACCACAGAGACTTAATATACTATGCCACAGAGCCAACCCCCTCAAAAAATTCTTTATAGATGCATAAATCAATACTAACCTTATAGAATTATTGAGATAAAATGCACTCACCAAATTCCTGATGGTGGATGCATTTGGAAGATAGATACACAGACATACAGGTTTACATTCCCATCAACAGTGGATTATGGTACCCTTTTCCCTTCATCCTCACCAGCATTTATTGGTTGTTGATTTCTGTATGAGAGCCATTCTAACTGGGGTGAGGTAAAACCTCATTGTGGTTTTCATTTGCATTTCCCTGATGGCTAGTGATCCTGATCATTTTTTCATGTGTCTGTTGTGTATTTGGATTTCTTCTCTTGAAAAATGTTTAAGTCCATTTCTTAACTGGCTTGTTTGTTTTGTTGTTGGTGGTTGAGTTTCTTGAGCTTTTTATAGATTTTAGATATTAATCCTTTATCAGTTGCATAGTTTGCAAATATTTCCTCCCATTTTGTCAGCTACCTCTTCTCTTTGCTGAGTGTTTTCTTTGCAGTGCAGAAGTTTCTCAGCTTGATGTAATCCCATTTGTCTCTTTTGGCTTTGATTGCCTGTGCTTCTGGGGTCTTTTCCATGAACTTTGCCTAGCCAGTGTCTTGCAGAGTTCCATGAGTGTTCTCCTCTAGTAATTTGATGATATTAGGTCATGCGTTTAGATCCTTGATCCATTTTGAGTTGATTCTTGTGTAAGGTGTAAGGTAGGAGTCTTGTTTCATGCTTCTGCGCTTAGAGACTCACTTTTTCCTGCACCATTTGTTGAAGAGACTGTCCTTGCTCCAGGGATTGATTTTAGCTCCCTTGTCAAAGATGAATTGGTTGTAGATGTATGGTTTTATTTCTGGAGTTTCTATTCAGTTCCATTGATCTACATGTCTATTTTTATGCCAGTACCAGGCTGTTTTAATTATAGTTGCTTTGTAGTATACCTTGAAATCTAGTAGTGTGATGACTCCAGCTTTGTTTCTGTTGCATAAGATTGTTTAGCTATTCAGGGTCTCTTTTGTTTCCATATGAATTTTAGCATTGTTTTTTTCTTTATCTGAGAAGAATGTCATTGGTGTTTTGATGGAGATCATATTGAATCTGTAATTGCTTTCAGTAGTATGGACATTTTGATGATATAAATTCTTCCAATCCATGACCATGGGAGATTTTTTTTAACTTTTTGTGTATTCTTCTATTTCTTTATGTTTTGTAATTTTCATCACAGAGATCTTTGACCTCCTTCGTTAAATTTATTCCAAGTTATTTAATTTTTGTTGCTATTGTGAATGGTACTGATGCTGTAAGTTCTTTCTCAACCATGGCATTGTCTGTGTATACAAAAGCTATTGATTTTGTGTGCTAATTTTATATCCTGCCACTTTACCAAAGTCTTTTGTAGTTCCGATAGTCTGTTAGTGGAGTCTTTTGGATCCCATAGATACAGAACCATGTCATCTGCAAATAGAGATAGTTTGACTTCCTTCTTCCCAATTTGTACCCATTTGATTTCTTTTTCTTGCCTAGTGGCTCTGGCTAAAACTTCCAGGACAATATTGAACAGCAGTGGTGAGAGTGGGCATCCTTCTCTGGTTTTAGATCTTAGTGGAAATGCTTCCAACTCTTCCCCATTCAATAGGATGCTGGAAGTGGGTTTCTCATATATTACCTTGATTGTGTTGAGGAATGTTCCTTCCATATCCAATTTGCTTAGGGTTTTCATCATGAAAGAAGGTTGTATCTGATCAAATGCTTTTTCTGCTTCTATTGAGATAATCATATGGTTTTTATTCTTCAGTTTTTTAATGTGATATATCACATTGATTTGTCAATGCTGAACCATTTTGCATACCAGGGATAAGTCCCACTTGGTTCAGGTGAGTGATCTTTCTGATGTGTTGTTGGATTCAATTAGCTATTTTTTGGTGGAGGATTTTAAATATACAATCATCAGTGATTTTGGTCTATACTTATCTTTTTCTTGTTTATGGAATTAAGGTGATGCTGGCTTCATAGAAAGAGTTTGGGAAGATTCCTTCCCTTTCAATTGTTTTTGAATAACTTGAGAAGAAATGGAATTAGCTCTTCTTTAAAAGTTTGGCAGAATTCAGCAATGAAGCCATCTGGTCCTGGGCTTCTTTGGACGGTCTTTACTACTGATTCAATTTCCATCTTGGTTATTGGTCTTTTTAGGTTTCCTATGTCTTCATGACTCATTTTGGTAGACTGTATGTATCCAGGAATTTATCCATATTTTCTAGATTATCCAATTTGTTGGCAAACAGCTGTTTGTAGTAATTCCTGATGATTCTTTTCATTTCTGTGGTACCCACTGTAACGTTTGCTTTTTCAACTCTGATTTTATTCATTTGGATCTTTTATAACCATGACCATGTTTCTGTGTGCAGCACATCCTTAAGCAAATTGTAGAGCTGGATGGGTGGTGACAAATTCTTTCAATTTCTGTTTGTTATGGAAGCTCTTTATTTCACCTTCATTCATAAATGAGAGCTTTGCAGGGTACAGTATTCTGGGTTGACGGTTTGTTTCTCTTAAGATTTGGGCTGGCTGGCACCACGGCTCAATAGGCTAATCCTCCACCTGCAGCATTGGCACCTCAGGTTCCAGCTGGGGTACGGGATTCTGTCCTGGTTGCTCCTCTTCCAGTCCAGCTCTCTGCTGTGGCCTGGGAGTGCAGTAGAGGATGGCCCAAGTGCTTGGGCCCTGCACCCGCATGGGAGACCAGGAGAAGCACCTGGCTCCTGGCTTTGGATCAGCATGGTGCGCCGGCCACAGTGCGCTGGCCACAGCGGCCATTGCGGGGTGAACCAAGAAAAAAGGAAGACCTTTCTCTCTGTCTCTCTCTCTCACTGTCCACTCTGCCTGTCCAAAAAAAAAAAAAAAAAAAAAAAAAAGAATTTGGGCTATATCTCACCATTCTCTCCTAGTGTGTAGGGTTTCTGATGAGAAGTCAGCTGTGAATCTAATTGGAGATCCTCTGAAAGTTACCTGGTGTTTCTCTTGTGTATATTTTAGAATCTTTTCCTTATGTTTTACTGTAGAGAGTTTGACTACAATGTGTCGTGGTGAGAATCATTTCTGGTCATGTCTATTAGGAGTTCTATGTGCTTCCTGTCCTTGAACATCCCTTTCTTTCCACAAACTAGGGAAGTTTTCTGTAATTATTTCACTGAATAGGCCTTCTAATCCATTGTCTCTTTCCATGCCTTCAGGAACTCCTAATACCCATTGGTGGATCATTTGGTAGTATCCCATAAATCCTGAACATTTTTTAGAGCATAATGATACTTCCCACCCTACCCTCCCTTCTCCCCTTACTCCTGCCCACACTCCTTCTTTCCTTTTTTTTTTTTTTTTACTTTTTGCATGAAATACTTCCAGTGTACTTTTTAAAAATTATTTATTTATTTATTTATTTAAAAGTCAGAGTTACATAGAGAAGGAGAGGTAGAGAGAGAGAGAGAGAGAGAGAGAGAGAGGTCTTCTGTCTGCTGGTTCACTCCCTAATTGGCTGCAATGGCCAGAGCTGCACCAATCTGAAGCCAGGAGCCAGGAACTTCTTCTGGGTCTCCCACATGGTTTCAGGGTTCCAAGGACTTGGGCCATTTTCTACTGCTTTCCCAGGCCATAGCAGAAAGCTAGATCAGAAGTGGAGCAGCTGGGACTTGAACCGGTGCCATATAGGATGCTGGCACTACAGGTGGCGGCTTTACCCGCTATGCCACAGCGCTGGCCCCTCAATGTACTTTATAATCACAAGATTAACCCTCCATTAAATAAATAATTCAATAAGTAGTAAGTAGAAAAACCACTGTTCCTCAAGAATATAGATAAAGGCTATAAAAATAATTAAATCTTAAAATGTCAAATATGAAAAAAGTAATGGGCCGGCGCCGCGGCTCACTAGGCTAATCCTCCGCCTAGCGGCGCCGGCACACCAGGTTCTAGTCCCGGTCGGGGCGCCGGATTCTGTCCCGGTTGCCCCTCTTCCAGGCCAGCCCTCTGCTGTGGCCAGGGAGTGCAGTGGAGGATGGCCCAGGTGCTTGGGCCCTGCACCCCATGGGAGACCAGGAAAAGCACCTGGCTCCTGGCTCCTGCCATCGGATCAGCGCGGTGCGCCGGCCGCGGCGGCCATTGGAGGGTGAACTAACGGCAAAAGGAAGACCTTTCTCTCTGTCTCTCTCTCACTGTCCACTCCGCCTGTCAAAAAAAAATAATAAAAAAAAAAAAGAAAAAAGTAATGGATATCAGTGAAATTGACATTTTGAGAAAATAATTCTTAAATGCTAGGTACTGTTTACAGTGATGGTGTATGATTTTGTCATTTGGTCAAAGCATAATATTTATCAAAATTTAAAACCCACCAGGCCATAGTTAGGAGTTAGGACAAAGACAACCCACATTTTGGAGTATGTGCTTATTTCCATAAAGGAGCAAAGTCAGAAAACAAAAACAAAAAGATGAAAATCCATGGAAATGTTTGGTACATAAAAAGCTCTCTGATTATGAATATTTGCCTTTAATTTAGAGTCCAGATAATGTACCTCTAGAAATCAATGGAGTTTATCAATAGTTTATATCATCGAAATGTATTGCACAATTCTTGAGTAAAGTATTGCTGCTTTTAATTTTCCTCTAACTAGGTTGACTTCTAAAGAGGCAATGATATCTGTATTCTATATTTCATCTTACACATTTCACTGCAATAATGAACTTATCACCAATGTTGTTCTAACGTTCTTTAGTTGAGTGTCTCTAAAGTGGGTGGATATAGTCAATAAATCAATGATGAAATAATTCTATGAAGATAGGGTTGTTACAACTGAGAAATATTGCTGAAGGAGTATGGATCTCAGATATAAAATCTTTACTTGTGAATAGCTTTAATCTAAAATATACCATGCTGGGTGCTGATATTCTTATTTCGTTTTTTCTGTTTCTTTTCTTTCTTCAAAAGATGTCCAAGTGACATAGAACCACAAAATTCAACCTGTGTCTTGGAATTTCTCCTTATGGGTCTCTCTGAGGATCCAGACCTGCAGCCCCTCCTGTTTGGGCTGTTCCTGTCCATGTACCTGGTCACAGTGCTTGGAAACCTGCTCATCAACCTGGCTGTCAGCTCTGACTCCCACCTGCACACCCCCATGTACTTCTTCCTCTGCAACCTGTCCTTGGCTGACATCAGTTTCACCTCAACTACAGTCCCCAAGATGATAATGGACATCCACACTCACAGCAGATCCATCTCCACTGTGGGCTGCCTCACTCAGATGTCCTTTTTTATGCTTTTTGGATGTCTGGATAGTCTGCTTCTGACCGCAATGGCCTATGACAGGTTTGTTGCCATCTGTCATCCCCTGCACTACAAGGTCATGATGAGCCCACGTCTTTGTGGCTTGTTGGTTTTCATTTCATTTCTCATCAGCGTTTCAGTCTCTCAGCTTCACAATTCAATGGTGTTACAACTTACCTACTTCAAGAATGTAGAAATCTCTCATTTCTTCTGCGATCCTTCTCAGCTCCTCAGCCTTGCCTGTTCCGACACCTTCATCAATAACATGATCATGTATATTGTTGGAGCCATCTCTGGTTTCCTTCCTATCTTAGGGATCCTCTTCTCTTACTATAAAATTGTTTCCTCCATTCTGAGAGTCCCATCGCAAGGTGGGAGGTATAAAGCCTTCTCCACCTGTGGCACTCACCTGTCTGTGGTTTGCTTATTTTATGGAACAGGTCTTGGGGTGTATCTGAGTTCAGCTGTTTCACTTTCTCCCAGGAAGTGTGCAGTGGCCTCAGTGGTGTACACTGTGGTCACCCCCATGCTCAACCCCTTCATCTACAGCCTGAGGAACAAAGATATCAAGAGGGCCATGTGGAGGCTCCTCAGCAAAACAGTCTCATCTCAGTCCCTGTGCCACCATCTGGAATGTAGGTTGGAAAAGGCAGTGAAAGTGAGCATCTAGACCTGAAAATCTCACCTCTGTCATTACAACATGTTTGAGGCTCTCTGGCTTTTGTTCTCTACATTTTATATCTAACTATTGCTTCTTCTGCTCTTTATTTAAGATGGAGAATTACAGGTCTTTTGTGCATCCTTCACATGCATGAACCCTCTTGGGCTATGGAGCTCTCTGTAGTTCATTGTTGATCACCTAGGTATCCTGGAGAGATGAACAGCTCTCTTTTTGTGACCTTCAAGTTCACATCTTCACCATGGTTCATAAATACTTCTCAGACACATTTATCATCTAACTTATTTGTGCAGTTTTGTATGAGGATCACTACAATCACTGTTCCTCTTTATAGAACCACCTGTAGAGCTTCAAAATGTTGAGACCTGGGTGTCACCACCAGAGATTCCAATTTCATGATCTGGTGCATGACTTGAGCATGAATTTTCAAGGCACCTTGGTTTATGCTGAACAATCTGTTGAAGCTGTTTCAGCAGCTTCACTGTATGTGATGACACTTTTCCCTTGCTGCTTTCATGATTCTCTCTGTGTCACTTTTAACAATTCTATTTGTCTTGGTGTAGTCTCTTTGGATTTATTCTCATTGGAAATCATGCAGCCTCTTGAACATGTATTTCCACTTCCTTTAAATTTGGAAGTTTCCATTTCAGTCATTATTGCTTCAAACCGGCTCTCTGGCCCCCCTCTCTTTTCTGGTTGTGGAACTCCCAAAATTACTCCACTGGTCTGCTTAGGGTATCCCATAAGTCTTTTGGTGCTCTGCTCTTCACTCGTTTCTTTTCTTCCTTTGATTGGGTAGTTTCAGATGAGTTCTACTGACATTGACTGGTTCTTCCTTCTTGAATAGAGTCTACTGTTGAACACTATATGGAATATTCCAACTCAACTAATGTATTATTCATCTTCAATGTTTCCATTTGCTTTCATAGAGATTTATTTACTTATTTGAAAGGCAGAGAGAGAGAGAGAGAGAGAGAGAGATTTTCCATCTGCTGGTTTACTCCCCAAATGACTGCCATGGTCTATGCTGACCCAGGCTGAAGCCAGGCGCCAGGAGCTTCTTCTGGGTCTACTATGTGGGTGCAGGGGCTGGGCACTTGGGCCATCTTCCACTGATTTTCTAGGTGCATTAGCAGGGAGCTGTATCAGAAATGGAGCAACCTGGACTCAAACTGAGCCTATACGGGATGCTGTGGCATAGGTTAGGCCTCCGCCTGCAGTGCTGGCATCCCGTATAGGCGTCAATTCAAGTCCTGGCTGCTCCATTTCCAATCCAGCTCTCTGCTATGGCCTGTGTAAGGAGCAGAAATTAAACAGCTCCACCATAACATTAACAGGAAATAAGCAAGAGCTACAGTGGCTGCAGGAGATCTGCATGGACTGGATAAGAACCACCCATGGCCACATACACCCTCCTGGGGCCTCCTCGGCCATACACTGACCACCAAAAATGAATATAACCTGCAGGCTGAAGAGGCCCTGAGAGACTTCCTGAACAGACCCTCCTGGAGCAAAAGCTCCAGGTTGACCTGCCACACTCAGACCTTCCCACGAGTTCTCCCAGCCAGGCCTGCGCCTGCCGGATGCCAAGGCCGAGCTCACCCTACAGACTTCGAAGCCCTGCTCACCCAAAGCCGAGACTCTACTCGCCTTTCCAGACCTGCATCCTTCGGCCCAGAGGCACCACCCATGCAGACGCTGTGAGAATCCGCCCTCTTGTGGCTAAGACATGTCAAGAGGAGCACGGGAGGTACTGTGGGAACCTTAGGTGGTCGGTTTTGCCCAGTGTGCTGTGTGAATTAGAACCTGTGACTTCTCCATTGCACAATAAAGTCCTTATTGGAATCAACACAGCCTTGGTGCCATTACTACACTTGCAACAACCTGGGAAAGCAGTAGAAGATGACTCAAGTGCTTGGGCCCTGCACCCATGTGGGAGACCCGGAAGAAGCTCCTAGCTCCTGGCTTTGGATAGGCACAGCCCCTGCTGATATAGCCATTTAGGGAATGAACCAGTAGATGGAAGAGTCTCCTCTCTCTCTTCCTCTCTCTCCCTCTGTAACTCTGCCTCTCAAATAAATAAATAAAATATTTTAAAAAAGATTTTATTTATTTATTTGAAAGAATTACACAGAGAGAGGAGAGGCAGAGAGAGAGAGAGGTCTTCCATCTGATGGTTCACTCCCCAGTTGGTTGCCAGCGGCCGGAGCTATGCCAATCCGAAGCCAGGAGCCAGGAGCTTCTTCCCGGTCTCCTACGTGGGTGCAGGGGCCCAAGGACTTGGCCCATCTTCTACTACTTTCCCGGGCCATAATAGAGAGCTGGACAGGAAGTGGAGCAGCCGGGTCTCGAACTGGCGCTCATATGGGATGCCGGCGCTTCAGGCCAGGGTGTTAACCAACTATGCCACAGCGCTGGCCCCAATAAATCTTGGGAAAAAAAAAAAAGACAGTCTTTTCCACAAATGGTGCTGGACCAACTGGACCTCCATTAGTAAGAAAATGAGTCTACACCCTTCACAGAAATTAAAATGAGCCACAGCCCTAAACATAATACACAGAGCTGGAAAACTAGGAGACAGCAGGAGGAGCCGGCATTATGGCACAGCAGGTTAAGCCATGGCTTGTGATGCTGGCAACCATGTCAAAGTTCAGCTGGCCTGACCACATGTGTGTTGCTGGCAGTCTGGGTAAAGGGTGTTGGCAGCAATAAAATCCTCAAAAGCTCACAAACCTCCCACGCCCCAGAGCAGCCCCTGGGGTCTACATCCAGCTTCTAACACTAATAAGCTGCCAGTCACAAGAAAAGGGCAAGGCCAGTGACATCCAGCTGTTTATTTTCATGGTGAAGTCAGCAGCCTGGAAACTGTTTGCCACCAGTCAGCACGGCTGTCTGCCACATCAGTGCTTTCCGCCTCAGCCCACGTACGTGTAGAACAAAGTCAGGTTGCTAACCTTGCTTTCCAAACAGCTGCACGAGAAAATGTGCTCTTGGTACCTAGTGAGGCCAGGTTCCAGCAGTTTTCCAGCATCCCATTGGCAGATGCCAATCACCCTGACTGCAGCTCACAGCCTCCATCTCTGTGTCTCACCAATGCAGGGGCAGATCTTGTCCTAAAACACAAGAGAATCAAACTCTCAGCAAACAAGCTCCCTGCCCATGCATACCTGGGAGGCGGCAGGGGACGGCTCAGGTCCTTGTACACCTGCTGCACTGTGGGAGACGTGGATGGAGCTCCTGGCTTCAGCCTGGGCCAGTGGTGCCTGCTGCAGGTTTGCAGAGCCAATCCGTGGATGGAACATCTTGGTCTCTGTACCTCTCCAATAAAATAGTTTTAAAATGAAAACAGCCACAGGCTGGCGCCGTGGCTCACTAGGTTAATCCTCTGCCTGCGGCACCAGCATCCCATCTGGGCACCGGGTTCTAGTCCCGGTTGCTCCTCTTCCAGTCCAGCTCTCTGCTGTGGCCCGGGAGGGCCGTAGAGGATGGCCCAAGTGCTTGGATCCCTGCACCCACATGGGAGACCAGGAGGAAGCACCTGGCTCCTGTCTTCGGATTGGCGTAGCTCCGGCCGTAGCGGCCATTTGGGGAGTGAACCAACGGAAGGAAGACCTTTCTCTCTGTCTCCCTCTCTGTCTATAACTCTGTCAAATAAAAAAAAAGAAAACAGCCACTCACAACCTGCCTGCTCCCATCAGGGCTGTGGACCACAGAGTGCCTGGGACAGGTAAAGCTTTGCCAGGTTCACGAGGATGGAAAGGCAAATCGGATTTTGCGTGAACACCTTTTAGCTACGGTTTTTTTTTTTTTCAGTCTTAATTATGAAGTCAATGATGGATCTTTAAAAAAAATGCTAGTACCCTAACATTGAGTAAATCAAACACGCTTATTATTTTTTTCTATTTATTTTGTTTTTAAATTTTATTTAAGGCATACAGATGTCATGTATTTCAATACCCAGATGCAAGAACACAGTGACACTTCTCACGCTCCCTCGGCCTCCCTTTCCTAGTCCCACTCTCCACGAAGATCTATTCAAGACCCTCCGGGATGCTAAAATGCATCAGCGTTCAGGGATCTGGCCGGGCGGGGCAGGGAAGGACGGGGCCGCGCAGACACAGCGCCAGGAGCGGGACTAGTCCGTCCCCAAACCACGCAGCCTGGGCAGGAGGCCGCCTCTGGCCCCACTGCCTCTCCAGGTGCTGCAGCTGGGCCAGCACGAGCTTGCTCGCCAAGGTGGCTGGGGGGAGACACGGGGTAGGGGAAGATGTGCGCAGGGGCGTCGAGGGGAGAGATGCACCCCGGGGAGGGGATGCCCACGCGGGGGTGGATACACGGAGGTCCCCCTGGCATCTGGGAGCACAGAACTCCCCCCTACGAACTGACGCACTCGGGGCAAGGCCAGGGACGGAGGCGACCCCGGCCCTCACCCCCTCCGACCTGAGGTTCGCTTCCAGCTCGGTCTCCCCCAGCAGAGACAGGGAAGGGGGGTAGGGAGGGGGACAGGAGCCGTTGCTGGTAAGGATGGGCCGGGAGCCCCGACCTCCAGGCCAAGGCTGACCCCTTCCGGGCCTCACGCTCTGAGGGGGCAAGACCGGGGGCTCAGGGCAGGGTTCAGGACCAAATGCACCCTCCGGCTTCCCCAAGCAGGCCCCTGGCCAAGACACTCCCGCTTCTGACCCCGCCCCTTAGACCCTGCCCGGAGACCCTCACGCAGCGTCCTGTCAGCTGAGGGGGCGGGGGCACCGCGTCCTTGCCACACAGACATTTCTGACCCGGGCTCGGATCAAGCTGTGGAGCCCCGGACCTCTGGTGGGACGCGGGCCAGGGTCAGCGATCTGGCCGCAAACGGCACACATCAGCGACCAGCTCCACCCAGGGAATCAGTCCCCACGGCTCGCGACGGCCAGTCAGAATCACGTGGCTCGGGCCGACCAATGAACAGCCCGTGTAAGAAAGGGCCCGCCCCCCCACCTCGTTACGCGCAGGCGCGGTCTTCGGTTCCGCCCCTCCTGGGAAGCACGGCCTGAGGCCCCGCCTCCCTCCAGGCAGTGAGTGACAATGCCCTGAGGTCCCGCCCCCTCGCTTTGCGCGTGCTCGCGGCGTGAGGGCTCCTCCCCTTACGTCAGGCGGGCCACCGCCTGCCTCCCCGCCCCTCCCAGTTACGCACGTGGTCGCCTGCGGCCCCGCCCCCCCTTGCCGAGCACGCTCTCGCTGCATGTGGGCCCTGCGGGCCGCCGTCCGCCCGCTGCTCCCGCGGTCCCGCGCGTGCCGCGGCCTCCCTACTCCTAGGGCCGCGCCGCCACAGCCCCGCCACTCACGCGCGCTCGCCGCCTTCCGGCCATGGGGTCCAGGGGGGCCAGGAAGCGAGAGATGGGGCCCGAGGACAGAGGCCCCGAAAAGCCCCGCAGGAGAGGACGAGGGGGATCCCGAAGGTGCGGAGGAAGAGGAGGAAGAGCTGCTGAGGAGAGACCCTCTGTTGCCTTCAGGGACCCAGCGCGTGTGCTTAGTGCACCCTGATGTCAAGTGGGGAGCGGGGAAGCCGCAGCTGACTAGAGGTGACCGGGGCCGCCGCGAGGGGCGGGGCCTCTGGTGACGGGCGCTCATTGGGGCGGGGCCTCGGGGAGGCGCTCATTGGGGCGGGGACACGGGAGTGTGGCCTCGGGAGGCGCTTATTGGGGCAGAGACGCCTGTCATAGGGGTGTGGCTACAGGGGCGGGAACCGCTGGTGGGCGGGGCCTCCGCTGCACCGAACAAATGTTTGGGAGTCCCGCGACGCGGGCAGTGCCCAGGGTCCTCCGGCGCCCTCGGGAAGGGAGGGAAGTGCTAGGTAACTG